TCCCTACTCCCTATTGCTGTTTCCCACCTGCAGTACTCGAAGCAGCCTTCACATTTGTCTCCCCATGTTGCTTAGATCCTCTTTCCTGAAACACAAACTCGATGCCACCAGACTGAGGTTCCCCCTGATGCCTGGTGTTCCCTCACCTGTGGCTCGGTCACAGAGAGCTTTTCATTGGCCAGGCAGTCTACCTGGACCACCTGCTCTCTCTGCTTCTCCAGCCACTTTCCTGGGTGCTTTTCTGAGTGTCCAGTTAGGCCTGGTCTGGGAGCAAATGTTCCAGGCATCCCACCTGGGCTTTCTCCTGCTCGGGGAGGTGACCCTGCTGCCCCCTCTCATACTCACACGTCTCCACATCTCACAATCCCAGCACTACTGGTTATGTCTGTCATGGTGTTGAGTTAGGGCAAATGCTCAGCAGATGTGTGCTGGCTGTACCCTGGCCCAGGTTACACTGTTTGGGGTGCAGTGTACCTAGTGTCCTAGCTAGCAAGGACACTGTCCAGCTAGCCGATGTGCTGGAAGGTTGGTCTATTCAGAGAGTCGGGGCATCTCTGCCACCGTACATTGTAAGAGTTGCCTTTCTGAACCCTAGTTAGCGTTCTCATCTTTAAAAAGAGGGTTTTAACATCCAGTAAGAAGATAGAATTGAAGACAACACAAGGCCATGCACTAGGTCTCTCACTAGGAGGTCGTCACCATGGACTGTACACTTTATTTCTCCTCTTCTCTCTCCCGTGTCTCTCTCCTTCCTCTGGTGGGGCGAGGCTTCCTCCCTGTGCGCACAGTGCTCTGGTGCCTGCAGTTCCTGGGGAGGCTTTGTTCTCCCTGACTGCTCTGACTCTCCACCTTCTGTGGCAGGAGGAGCTGGAGCATCTGAACCAGGCCAGCGAGGAGATCAACCAGGTGGAACTGCAGCTGGATGTGAGTGTCAGTCCTTTTCTCCTTTTCTTGGGTTGGTCTGTCTCCCTCGTGTTTGACACAGTGGCAGAAGGAAGGGGCTAGGAACCAGGCCTGTGCCTTCACTCTGCCCATGCCCCCCTCTCTCTTTGCCAGGAGGCCCGGACCACCTATCGAAGGATACTGCAGGAGTCGGCCAGGAAGCTCAACACGCAGGGCTCCCACCTGGGGAGCTGTATTGAGAAGGCCCGACCTTACTATGAGGCTCGAAGGCTGGCTAAGGAGGTACGGCCCTGTGGACTGCCTTCTGGGATGGGTGCACACAGAGCGGGGCCATGGACTTCTCTTTCTCTGCACAGAGGTGAGATGGAACCCCAGCCCAAAGGCCCCAGTGCTGGGGGCCGAGCCAGCTTTGGACTGGATGAGCTCTGTGGACGGAGGAGATTCCTTCACTACTAGGTCTCATCATTGACAACGGCAGGGGTTGGGCTTGGAAGGGTTGTGTTGGCTGAGCTGATGCTTATCATACATCTCTGTGTGAGAAATCAAGGTTTAATGATGGGTCTGATACTGCCAGCTCCAACGTCCTATGATTCTAATCTTTTCCCCATTTCTTTGCTCTCTTAGTTCTCTTCCCAGCTTCACCTTTCCCTTTTCTGTACCTTTTCCTTCCTTGCTTGCACTCACTCCTAGCCCCCC